TAAAACTATGTCACCTATAAGAAAATGTCATAGTTCTATATCTCATAGAGCTCTACCGCTGAGGAGAATGGTCTCATTTTAGCTATAAATTCTTATTGAAATAGAATTTTTGCAAACATTTACTGTGATCGGCACAGAAAACAATTTGTTGGTTTTGTTATCCGTTTTCTCATCACCATTATTATAACCTTTTAACATTTTTCTGTAATTCAACTTTATCGTTTGAATTTCCACGAAAAAATTATTCTCATCACAACGACCATCAGCGCAAGAAGATTACAGACTTGTAAATAGACTTGTAAATAAGAAGACTTGTAAATAATACAACAACGTACCAGTTTTTCTCATTGACCAATAAAACAATGAAATCAATTAATAATTAGCATAGCATAATTTATACGTTTGTCATGACTCATTTGTTTGAAACTAATTAATTATTCTTTCTTCAGAATTTTGTATGATCCATTCATATACAAATGAGATATGCAAATTCCAGCATATTCATATAGTGGGAAGACATTATGACTTGCATATTTCCTTCATTTTCTTATGTTAACAACTGGCTCATTGGCATGGCATTTTCTTTCACTGGTAAATGCTTTTTTTTTCCTTGGTCATTTGGTGAGAATCGGTGAACATTTTTAACAATTCCTTACTGCTTACCCAGTTATATGTTTGTTAGTTTACAGGTAAACTGTGGGTCGTGATTATTGTCATTTGTTTACTAGACACAATCGAGCTCATCGATGGACAATCGCCTTTCATTAAACCGAAAAAACGACGTTATAAATTGATTCCGTTTTATTATGGTAGCATAAAAATTAACGATCTTAATAAACCTGTAAGATTTTTCTTTCAAATTTTGACAAATCAAGGTTCTTTTGGTTAAAAGTTCAATTTAATCTGATTTATTAATAGAAGAGATCAAAGATAGAAGATTGCGCCTATGTTTATTATATCCATTGTGTTAGAAATGGCCTTTTTGAGCTGTCCCACGATCGAATTCGACCTGATCCGATCCGACCCGGAAAAATGTCTGAGATACATACTTTCCTGATTACTAAAAAACCTACGATCGTCTAAAAATTCTAACTAAATCCTGTGACACATGCAACGATTTCTCGGAATCATTGACTTCTTATTTCCGTTCTCTTCTAGCGAAAATAAGTTTACTTTAGCAGTTTTAGTGCATCCTTTACAATTGCAATTTACAAATGACTCTAAATAAATTACAGAAGTCGAAAAATTGCATTAGCTTCTTTGAGTGTAATAACTAATTGATTCGAAGTGAAAATTATCATTTATTTCAACCCACGTGGTAAAAAAAAGCTTTCAGCACAAAGTATTATTTCCAGTTTGATAAAATTTTCATCAAATAATGAAAAAAAAGTGGTAAATGGTCAAAAAAATGATAAAATGGTAATTCACTTATTGAGCCAAAATAATGGACTTAATTAAGGATAATGTAACTTATTACACTAAATTCCTAATAATACACTTATTACAGTAAGCGATAACGATGAGAGAGAACTAACACTATCAATAATTCTGTTCACGACCTTTTGACATTATTTTTTAAACTGCTAATTAAATGCATGCGCTCTTAAAAACCATTTTGCTTCTTAAATTTTTTTCTTAAAAAATTTTTTTCTTAAAAAGTGATTTCTTAAAAACCATTTTGCCATATGCAAGTCGAACACAGGCATTTTTTCATATCACATATTCAGAAGCCTTACATTTGCATATGTTAATTTGCTTGATTAAATTTTCTTTCAGGCTCTCATTCAAGATCTCTCACTACTAAGCCATGTGTTGAATAATACGGCAGATACCGTCTTTGGTGCCAAGGATATAGCCCGCGATTTATTGACATTTTTCGCCGATTTGGATCAAATTATGATGTCAGCATACTTTCCTTTATTTGAAAGGAAGGGATGAATGGATAAATTTGAACCGCACTTTCAAGTGATTGAAAATGATTTCTGAAATAATATTTGGCAGATTTGTAGAACACGGAACAAGTTTGAATTTGATTGAACAAATCTAAACAATTTGCAGACAATGGTTGTTTCTATTCCTGATATGTTCAAGCATTTTTCATATGGCTGCATGCGCTTGCATTGGTTGCTGCGCGTGTTATGTTTTCAAAAATGAAATTCGAAGTACGCTTAAGGTGAAATTTGAGCAGAAAAAAAATTTCAAAAATTTGGAAGAATTCCAAGAATGTGAATTGCAACGAAGTTTTAGAGTAGTTCGAAACTGAATTTGACGAGGGATCTTAACAATTATGAGTTAATGAAGCAATAATTCCGGTGAATTCTAGTTTGCAAAACGGCAAGCTAAATCACCTGATGAGACAGCAGGAGCAAATGATGTATAAGCAGAAGAGTTACTCGATGTACCATCACCGCAGATTATTGGTGCACAACCAAAGCAATTGATGGTTGCTTTTGGATGTACTGCTTATTATTCAAAATATGTATTTTACTTTTCTCCTCAATCGTGATAGCGACAATATCCCATTTATATGCAATACATATCAGTGAATTGTGGACAAAAACTCAAGGAACAATGTCCAAAAAACAAGATTTCTAACCATTGTTAGTTACCACAATCACAAAAGGATCAGATTAGTTGAAATGTTACTTTGTTTTTCCTTTAGCTAATATCACATCAATCATGATCTAGCAAGTGAAATCCGATAACAACGTTAGTGCAAGATC